ACTCATTCAATGAATCAGAGGTAAAATTTTAAACGTTACCATTTTGATAAAACTTCTAACCGATCCAAATAAAATCAATATTTTATTTTTATATAAATTCTGGAACAACTGAAAAAATTGTCGATGACCGAATTGATAAGTTACCGAGTTGGAATCAATAAGTAACCGACTTCTGAAGCTTATCGATTCGGTCATCGGCAATTTTTTCAGTTGTTCTGGAATTTATGAAAACAGCTGTAATATCTATTTTCACCCAGGTGACTCATGAATCCACCCGAAGGGTTGCTTTTTTAACCCACCCGGGTTCTACCCGGGTGGCTCATGGGTCCACCCGCGGGTGACCCGGGTGGCATTTTTTTGACGGGTCCAATCACTAGTTACTTCCTAGTAAAATATAATTAATGATGATCGGCGCACCTTACGATCATAAGAAATATACGTATAGTTTAAAATATAAACAGATTTGACGTCATCATTTTTTTGCGCATACATTGGACTAAGACGGTTTTTATTTTATAGAATTTATAACTGAAATATTGGGAACTTTGCTGTTATCTAAGTTTTAGAGAGTGTCATTTTTGAAGGATGCCGTTTTTGAAATTTTTTTTTTCTTTTGAGAAAATGAATTATAGAAACAAACGAAGGGAAGCAAATAAATTATAGAAACAAACGTATTTACTAAAACATTCCAAACAAGGATTGTGTTTTTAAGTTTAATCATGATTTGATACTTACTCTAAGTAAACCAACCTTAATATGGTATAAATAAGTATAATGAGAACTAGATTATCTTGAAAAAGCGGATGTGAAGTTTTAAAATAAAAAAGTTCTTTATGTGGATTTTATTAGCATATTGGTCATTAGTGTTTCACAAAATTCTTAGTGAAGGGAAAGATTCCGAAATTCCGAAATATCGTTATTTACAGTAATTAGACGGAGTACCATCTATTTGGAACGAGTAAATAGGTAATTTTCGAAAAATTGCACCTTTAAATGGTTTAATTGCATGAATGAAAGTTAAATAGTAAGTAGGAACTTAGCTTTTTAAATAGTTTAAAAGAAAAATATTAACGCTACAATGGATATATAAGCATAAGTTCAGGTATTGAGTCGAATATTTTAAACATAATTGACCATGCAACTGACACTATACCTTTAATTAAACTAGGAAGACAATTCAACCTCATAAATTATTCTAATATATCCAAATTAAATTTGTGTCAGATTAAAATCCACCCTAACCCTAATGAAACGCAAAATTTTCATTTAATTCAAGACATTATATATGTGTGCATAAAATTGAGTTTGAACAAGACATTATCATTGGAATTATAAGTTAAAGAGAATCAAGCATATATGAATTTTCGAATACGCAAAATTAATTTACATGAAACTTTTTCTAAACACTTTTATCTATTATCAAATTTGCACTTGCTAGAGATATCTCATTAGTGCTTAGACTCTAACTATAAGGTCCAGTGAGATAAAAACTATAAAGAATTGGTTGCATTAAAAGATTTTGACAAAATTTTAATCGAAGATACTTCGACAATCATTTAGCTAAGTTCGATGAAATTGTTTGTTTGAATTTCTACATATTCGAATTCGAATAAAAATTTTCATTTAAATGATGCGGCTCTAACTATACATGGGTGTTTATTTTGGCAATGCTAAAATTTTTATATGAACCCCTTCGAAATAACTATATTATATGATGTATTTTGATGAAAAGAATTCAAAAAATTTCGGAAATAATTTCGGCAAATATGAAAATTAATTTCGGCACTATATAAGATTAATTTCGGCAGCCTAAATGCCGTAATTACTTTTTTATTAAGATGGGCAATTTAGAAACCCACGTATAGCTCTAACCCGCTACATACTGTATATCAAAGGTTTGAAGATTGGATTTTATAGAGATCTTTTTTTATCTTCATTATCATTAATAAAAGTGCAGTATTTTATCTTTCTATAAGTACTTTCTTCTGCCTAATTTATGATATCAGAATAGACGAAATAATACAGTAGATTTTATCACGGTAAGTCCTTTCTAGTTAAAGAACCATCGTAGAACGGCTACAGAATGCTTATAATATATGAGTTTCCCCAATTCTATGTTTATTTCATTAGGAATTAGAGCTTCATTATTTGTAGATCACTTACACTGATATTGCAGTGTATCTGACAATTTGAATATAAAGTTAAAAAATCTTATTGCTGCTCAATGAAAAAATTCAATTTTATTTTTTTAGTTCATCAATTAGGACCGTGCCCCGATCTTTTTAAAAAGAGCACATTCAATTATGCATTATTCTGTCACAGGGAAAATCATGAGCAGGGCATGAGGTTTGGAATTGTTGACGAATTAAAGATAAAAAGCCATCTTTTAATCTATTATGATTTTCAGAAGCCAATCTAAAAAATTTATTATCAACAATTTTAAGATATTCGAAAGTCAAAAATTCGAAAAATTTGATACTATTTCGGTTTTGGAAAACTTTTATACTTTAGAGCACATACTGTTCGGTCCCTAATCAGGTCTACTGTTATGGATGAAATGAACACTCAATTACGATACAATAAAAATAAAAAAGATAGAATTTAAGCAACTCTCCAGAGCGTGACGTGATGATTTGGCAGAATAATTTTATTTAGGAAGTTTGGAAATTTTATTAGTTGTATTATTTGAATATTTTTTAACCACGGAAGTTATTCTTTCACAAGAACGAAACTAAGTATTTTTATGCTTTCAAGAAGCAAGGAGGCACAAGGAGATTAAATTTTAATTACATTTCTTTCACAGCCAACATTCTATTACGGGGTGATTTGTACGATTAATATTTTATACACGAAAATATAGAATTTATCTGATATAAGGCAACTCGCCAGAGAACGTTGGTGATTTGGTATGAATTTATTTAGAAGAATGATTGCAAAGATTTATCAAAGGAATTTATTAAATGTATTATAAGTTTAATATTGGAATCCCGTAGGATGCCTTTGACAAGAGCGAAATCTCAGTGCTTTTATAGCTTTGACTATCCTAGCAAATTCAAGGAGCTTAGGGATTAAGGACAATTTACATATTTAAAGAATTAAAGAAATCAATACTAAGGTAAAGGCTTACAATAATAATTACAACATATTATGATAAATAAAAAGAAAGGCTTTGCATCGCTTCTTACAATATTTCATATTGCAGCCATTTTGTAATTATCTTCTTTCTACGCGTACTTGTTCTTCGGATGTTTGAGTTTCGCGTTTGTTTGTTTATCTTATTCGGCCGACAAGCCTTACCCGATAGTAAATCCACCTTTTGCCCGTGACAATTCTTAAAATTCAAAGAAACAAGGGGTTTTTAAGGCTATTACGTCACATTATTCTGCGAGATATTAAATGTAAGTTTCATTTGTTGTTATAAGAAACTGCAGCATCAATTTTTACGCAATGGTAGACATGTCTATAAGCGTAAAGGAAAAAAATAACTTGACCGACAAGCCTCATACGTCATAACCGAACTCGATCACAGTGGCGCTCTTCGATCACGAAGCAATAGAAACTTTATTGGATTATTAAAACAGATTCAAATATGAACATGGTTTAATAAATTTAGGTTTCAGTTAATATGAAGAAATAATCGCAAATTATTTCAAAATAGATGTCAGGCCATACAATTTAATAAATTGGTTCACATAAGGATTGAGTCAACCCATAGATTGTAGCGTATTTGATTTTAAAATTTTTATTGGAGAAAATATAAAAAATATACATATTACATATGAGAAACGAGAAATTTTAATTTGGGTACAATTTTGAATTACCATATAAAAGGTCATTCGTATGAAAAGATTCAAGTCCAGTCTCATTTTCAGTATTAGGCACAGCCGAGGGTGGCTGTAGTTGCTGTATAATTGGTGCATTTGGAACACTTGAATTAAAGTTAAACTCAGGTCCAAAGCTTCGTTGCCCGTCGATAGTGAGATCAGATTGGGGTACATCCATACTTAATGCTCCACCGTTGATAACAATATCATAATTGATTCTCCTCTGTCTAAATAAATACGGACTCACTGACGTATCACTAAGATTTGGTTCGAGATGACCATCCCAACATAAATCATGTGATTGTTGCTCGAAATTATCACAACCGGGAACTTGATCGTGATAGTGTTCTTGATTATCAAATATTTGATATTGTTGCCCTTCAGTGATGTTAACTACATCATTTGGTGCGTTGCTGTTGTCACGTGATTCTCCAGATAAATCATGTAAAGTACATAGGTTTGATTGTTGCTTGTCACTACCACAGTCTTTACGAACGGAAACATTAGCGTTAGGCATTGAAGTTTGATGTAGTAGTTTTTCAGCAATGTTATCATCCGATATTCTAAAATCACGTGACTCATTAATAATGATCGGCGGAAAGCGAAACATCTCACGATCATAATAACCTGTCTTAATAATATGATGCATAATGTGCGCAAGAATTCCACAAGCAGCTTTGACATCATCATTTTCTTCCGCATAGGCCATCTTGGCTACATGTTGATTAAGACGATTTTTATTTTTATAAAAGATATAACCGGAGGGGCCCTTTCTTTTACCATTGGAAACTTTGCGGTCATCTAAACTTTTTTCGATCATCATCTCATATTCCGAAAGGTCCATTTTGATCAGTTTTAGAACATCTGAAATATTCGTAAAGTATGTCATTTTAAAGATACCGTTTTTGTAATTTGATTTTTTCTTTTCTTTTTTTTTTTGCTTTTGAAAAAATGATTATAGAAAACCACGTATTGAGTGAAAAAAATACAAACGAGCGAAAAGGATTTATATACTTGAAGAAATATGGCGCATTAACTTCTATTTATACATTAAAAAATGATTTTCAAATTCATTATTCATATTTAGATCACTTAACGCATTCAATGAGGAGGTGCATTATAGAAAATTTTCTATCAAAAATATGATCTTAAAGGGAAAGTTTATACTATCAAAATCTGCTCGTAAAATTACTAATTAACAAATCTTTTTATATTTTTCAAGGGCGCCACTTCTCCTCAATTGTTATCAAAACCAATTACGAGAGTATGTTACACGTACAGTAAACTGTCATATACAAGACCCGGGTCTATTTCATTTCATCAATTTTAAACCCTATAATTAGACCCGTTGGTCTCTTGTATGGGTGTGGGCCTAATAATTGGGATTTCTTTAGTATTTTCCTATTTGTATTCTCCCTGATCTACCGTAAACGGCCACATACATGGGTGCCTAAAAATCGTATTTTCGACAAACGTTTCAGCATTGCTAAATTTTTTATATGAAACTCTTAGAAATAACTATATTATATGATGTATTTTGATGAAAAAGAGTTCAAAAAGTTTCGACAATAATTTCGGCAAATATGATAATTAAATTTGACACTATATAAGAATAATTTCGGCTGCCTAAGTGCCGTAATTACTTTTTTATTAAGATGGGCAATTTAGGCACCCATGTATAAACGGCCATATAAAAGACCCTCAAAAATAGTAGACCCACCGGGTACTAGACCCGTGTCAGTTCTCAGGATCTTGATTAAAATGCAATTCTTTTCAAACATCTAGATTGCATGTTACAAATGTAAAGTGTGTATGCATTTCAAATTTTTACTTTCGATGATACAAAATCTCAGCAATGTACTGACCCCAGGTCTACTATATGTTTTAAAATTGGTGGAATGTAACAGACCCGGGTCTTTTATATGACCGTTTACGGTAGTATATAGTGGGTCCGATGTCTGGGGTCTTGTATATGGCAGTTGACGGTAATTTTAATAAATCCAATTTTCCGCTGATGTAATTTCCTAGGTACAACTAGATTATTGCAAATGCTGCAAATATTGCCGTGGGAAACTCGGATTAAAATAAACTAATTTACGTGCAATTTATTTTAATTTATTTAGAACTCTTAACTTTCGCTTCATGTACAGTATTAAGGGAACAAAATATTGATTGATTTAACTGACCAGACTAAAGAGTTTATAGAGATTGAACATTAGTTCTTTATTCTATTTGTGCTAATTATGGCACATATTTTCTCCAACAAATCCATTTTTAATAACGAATAATCAGAAGTATGACTATAATCTTTCATAATTTCTTTTGCAATCCTATGGAATGCGATCATTATATAATTAGAAATAAAAAAAATTGATCTGTAATTAGATCGATTTTGTTTAAAATTTAACAAATATACTTAAAAGTTTTTTTTTTTTTTTTAACTTGAGTTATTCACAGTTTGAACAATTGCACAGTAGACTCCGGTCTTTCACTCTTATTTTGAGAACAACTTTAATTCAAATTCAGAAGGAAATAGCTTCCAGCAGACAATTAGTAAAACGGAAGAATAACACCTTTATTCCCCGCTATGGGAGAACCATAGTCAATTATTTCCCTGGATTTTTTCTCTGGTACCTATAAAATCCGGGAAATATTCATTATTCACACTTAGTAGAGAATAAATAGTACTTATTTCGACCCGGCATAATTATGACATTAATTAGAGTATGCCAATTACCAGGGTCAATCAATAGACACATTAATTTAATAAATTCAATTGTTGCTTAAGTTAATAAGCTTTCATACAAACATCAGATTTGATTTAAAAAATGATTTTCTAAATATGAGCTTATTTAATAAGAAGTCGGCGAATGAAGGATTGCATTAGAAATTACTTTTATGTGACCATTCCACTTTACAACACCATTCTATTCTTTTTTCACATGAATAAGTGATTTAAATTATTTACAATCTCATTAAAAATCAATTGTTTCGTGATAGTTTCACAAATACGTAATGGTACGGGACAGCAAAAAACATCCAATAATATTTTAAATTTTGGAATTACATAATCAATTCTGATTGGCCAAGTTTGATATACTTTATTTGATTGGTTAATAAAACGTATTACCAAGTTTTAAAACATATAAACTTTAAACTGAAATAACTTTATAATTATTAAAGAACTAAAAAAAATCTATTTTAGCAGAATTGTAGCTATAGCCAATTGTAACAAAACTGTTAGAAATATTTTTGATTAATATATATAATTTAGTTATAAAATTTTTATAAAACACATGATGTTTTTTGCTGTCCGGTACTGCACATATTTGTAAACGCGAAATGATGCATAACTGCGCAAAGAGATTTCTATTAAGCGAAGATACTGTGCTGAATTTCCGTTTCGTCCAGAATCGTTATTTTGACATTTAGGTACTTAATTTTGATGCACCAGCTTCTATTAAATATAATATATTGAAATTAGAATAAATTATTAATTGGTATTACACACGTTTGCCGTCTCGTGACACTATTTGTCACAAAACTTAGGAATCAAGAACTGAAGTGAACTGGGTGTTTTGACATATTTTTGATTTGTATACAGTATTCGTGAATCTCAACAAATTCTGCATGATAAAAATCTGCGCAAGAGTTGCAAAAGTTTCTGTTTACGTTTGTTTCATATTTTCTTTTGGAAAATTTTTTTGTTGACTAATAAGTAAGCATGTCAGCGATGGCAACAGTATATCTCTTATTAACATCAAAAACCTATTTTAGCACTAATACAGTATCATTGAGAAACATTTAAAGAGATGATCTTGTCCACACCATACCTTATCTTTTATCAATGATTATAATTTAGCATGTGAAACACATTTTGTTATCTAATTTACGAATATAGTTGTAGGTATAAAAAATTTTTATCAACAATGGTTGATACAAATTATTATTCTTTATGGATCGGCAGTACTGATCCTGATAGAGCGAGAAAAATTTTATTTGCGTACGTACTTTCTTGGTAGGAATTTTTTTTTTGTTTCTTACTTAGAACTGTACCGACGATCCATCAGAAACTGTAAAAGGCATTTTCGTTGTCAACACAATTCTTAATAAGGTCAATTGCATAATTTTACATTGCCTAGTGTGATTTTAAGTTCATTTAATTATTATATATTTGTTAAGACGGATTTAGGTAAAATTGCTACATATTTAGACATTCGTTTCTTACAAGCTTTTTGCATAGTGCATTAGGTTTGATTTTGCAGCACAGCTAACCTGAATGAAATCTGTATTTAGAAATATATCGAAACGTTGAAACAAAATTATGTTTACCGTGAGAAAAAAAAACCCAGCTTTGAAATTTATTTATTTTGATATATCAAAAGGAAATTACAAAGCTTATTTAGATAATATTGAACATGAATATTAAAACTAAGCTAAGATTAAATATTTCCTACATCGCCCATGTGGCATAAAGCTGACGTGACATATACCTCCGAATTCTCTATTTGTAAACTAATTTAAGCTA